CTTTTTTGGTTCCATATGAACTTTAAAGTAGTTTTTTTCCAATTCTGTGAAGAAAGTCATTGGTAGCTTGATGGGGATGGTATTGAATCTATAAACTACCTTGGGTAGTATGGCCATTTTCATGATAGTGATTCTTCCTATCCATGAACATGGAATGTTTTTCCATTTGTGCCCTCTTTTATTTCGTTGGACAGTGGTTTGTAGTTCTCCTTGAAGAGGTCCTTCACATCCCTTATAAGTTGGATTCCTAGGCATTTTATTCTGTTTGTAGCAATTGTGAATGGTAGTTCACTCATAATTTGGCTCTCTGTTTGTCTGTTATTGGTGTATAGGAATGCTTAGAATTTTTGCATGCTGGTTTTGTCTCCTGAGACTTTGCTGTAGTTGCTTATCAGCTTAAGGAGATTTTGGGCTGAGGCAATGGGGTTTTCTAAATATACAATTATGTCATCTGCAAACAGGGACAATTTGACTCCTTCTTTTCCTAATTGAATACCCTTTATTTCTTTCTCTTGCCTGATTGCCCTGGCCAGAACTTCCAACACTGTGTTGAATAGGAGTGGTGAGAGAGGGCATCCCTACCTTGTTCAAAGGGAATGCTTCCAGTTTTTGCCCATACAGTGTGATATTGGCTGTGGGTTTGTCATAAATAGCTTTTATAATTTTGAGATACATTCCATCAATACCTAGTTTATTGACAGTTTTTAGCATGAAGGACTGTTGAATTTTGTTGAAGGCCTTTTCTGCATCTTTTGAGATAATCATGTGGTTTTTGTCTTTGTTCTGTTTATGTGATGGGTTACGTTTTGATTTGCGTATGTTGAACCAGCCTTGCATCCCAGGGATGAAGCCGATTTGATCTTGGTGGATAAACTTTTGGATGTGCTGCTGGATTCAGTTTGCCGGTATTTTATTGAGGATTTTTACATCGATGTTCATCAGGGATGTTGGTCTAAAATTCTCTTTTTTACTTGTGTCTCTGCCAGGGTTTGGTATCAGGATGCTGCTGGCCTCATAAAATGAGTTAGGGAGGATTCCCTCTTTTTGTGTTGATTGGAATAGTTTCAGAAGGAGTGGTACCAGCTCCTCTTTGTACCTCTGGTAGAATTCAGCTGTGAATCCATCTGGTCCTGGACTTTTTTTGGTTGGTAGGCTATTGATTATTGCCTCAGTTTCAACGCCTGTTATTGGTCTATTCAGTGATTCAACTTCTTTCTGGTTTAGTCTTGGCAGGGTGTGTGTGTCCTGAAATTTATCCATTTCTTCTAGATTTTCTAGTTTATTTCCGTAGAGGTGTTTATAGTATTCTCTGATGGTAGTTTGTATTTCTGTGGAATCGGTGATGATATCCCCTTTATCATTTTTTATTCTGTCTATTTGATTCTTCTCTCTTTTCTTCTTTATTAGTCTTGCTAGCAGTCTATCAATTTTGTTGGTCTTTTAAAAAAACCAGCTCCTGGATTCATGGATTTTTTGAAGGTTTTTTTGCATCTCTATCTCCTTCAGTTCTGCTCTGATCTTAGTTATTTCTTGCCTTCTGCTAGCTTTTGAATGTGTTTGCTCTTGCTTCTCTAGATCTTTCCATTGTGATGTTAGGGTGTCAATTTTAGATCTTTCCTGCTTTCTCTTGTAGGCATTTAGTGCTATAAATTTCCCTCTACACACTACTTTACATGTGTCCCAGAGATTCTGATATGTTGTGTCTTTGTTCTCATTAGTTTCAAAGGATATCTTTATTTCTGCCTTCATTTCGTTATGTACCCAGTGGTCATTCAGGAGCAGGTTGTTCAGTTTCCGTGTAGTTGTGTGGTTTTGGGTGAGTTTCTTAATCCTGAGTTCTAGTTTGATTGCACTGTGGTCTGAGAGACAGTTTGTTATAATTTGTGTTCTTTTACTTTTGCTGAGGAGGGAGTGCTTTACTTCCAACTATGTGGTCAATTTTGGAATAAGTGCAGTGTGGTGCTGAGAAGAATGTATATTCTATTGACTTGGGTTGGAGAGTTCTGTAGATGTCTTATTAGGTCTGCTTGGTGCAGAGCTGAGCTCAAGTTCTGGATATCCTTGTTAACTTTCTGTCTCGTTGATCTGTCTAATATTGACAGTGGAGTGTTAAAGTCTCCCATTATTATTGTATGGGAGTCTAAATCTCTTTGTAGGTCTCTAAGGACTTGCTTTATGAATCTGGGTGCTCCTATATTGGGTGCCTATGTATTTAGGATAGTTAGCTCTTCTTGTTGCATTGATCCCTTTACCATCATGTAATGGCCTTCTTTGTCTCTTTTGATCTTTGTTGGTTTAAAGTCTGTTTTATCAGAGAGTAGGGTTGCAATCTCTGGTTTTTTTAAATTTCCATTTGCTTGGTAGATCTTCCTCCATCCCTTTACTTTGAGCCTATGTGTGTCTTTGCATGTGAGATAGGTCTCCTGAATACAGCATACTTATGGGTCTTAACTTGTTATCCAATTTGCCAGTCTGTGTCTTTTAATTGGGGCGTTTAGCCCATTTACATTTAAGGTTAATATTGTTATGTATGAATCTGATCCTAACATTATGATGTTAGCAAATCCAGCTAATTTTTAAAAATTTTTTTGTAGAGATGGGAGTCTCGTGCTATGTTTCCCAGGCTGGTCTCAAGCTTCTGGCCTCAAGCAATCCTCTCACCTCAGCCTCCCAAAGTGCTAGGACTGCAGGTGTGAGTCACCATGCCTGGCCCTCAAACTTCCTATGCCATTGGACCGTGCCTGCCTGTCCACCCTCAATTCTTGCCCTTTGTGCTCTGTACTCCAAACCACTTGGATCTTCTTTTAGATTCTATAACTTTCTGTGCTTTTTCTTGCCACAGGACCTTTTGTATAAGTGGTTTCCTCTTCCTAGAATGTTCTCTTTCTACTCCCCTTAACTCTATGGATCCTTGATATCTCAACTTAAGCAGTACCTCAGAGAAGCTCTTTTGATTCCTTAGTCAATATTTGGCTCCTTTGTTTTATACTTTTGTGTGTCTTTCTTTCTTTCTGTCTTACCCTTCATCTCTTTGCAAAAATATGTTTGGTCTCCTCCACTGGATAACTGGTTCATTAAAGTGGGTGTACATCTGGATTTGTTTATTATTGTATTTCCAGATCCTAGCATAATGACTGCCATATAGTTAATGCTTAAGAAATATTTATGGAATGAATCAATCAATTCTTACTGAATCCCTTTTTAGCTTTTTCAGCAGCTGCCTACTTGGGTGCTGATAAACTTCCAGGGGTGACTCCCTTAGCATTTAAATGGAATTACAGTTTACATCCTACAGCTTGCTTTTCCTACTTGGGCATTTTTCCAGTTCACTTATTTATTAATTTATTTTTGAGACAGGGTCTCACTCTGTTGCCTAGGCTAGAGTGCAGTGGCGTGAACATGGCTCACTGTAGCCTTCCTCCTGGGCTCAAGGGATCCTCCTGCCTCAGCCTCCTGAGTAGCTGAGACTACAGGTGCACACCACTCTATCCGACTAAGTTTTTTTTTTTATTTTTTGTAGAGATGGGGTCTCACCATGTTGCCCAGGCTGGTCTGGAACCCTTGGGCTCAGTCCTGTGTCAGCCTCCGAAAGTGCTGGGATTACAGGCATGAGCCACTGTGCCCAGCTATTTCTCCATTTTAGAAGATTTATGGATCTATTTTCTTCAGAGGCCTTATTTTGTATGGTGCATATATGTTTATAATCAGTTTGCTGAATATGTAACCTTTGCTTTCTGGTTTATCTGGCTTTGTCATTTATACTCTCTCGGTTCGTTTTATGATATGTAGCTTATTCTGGTTATGTATTTGATAAAACTGTAGACTGTGCATTTGTCTGGATAATGTGCAACTTGATTTTACTCAGGACACTTGTCTTTGCTACTTTGAAGTATAATTTGCTGGAGAAAATATGAAAGCATTAGGATAATAGGTTTCAAATGTATCATTAAACATAAAACTTACTTTTATTTTATTTTTGAGGCAGAGTCTGGCCCTGTCGCCCAGGCTGGAATGCAGTGGCACAATCATAGCTCACTGCAGCCTCTATCTCCTGTGGTCAAGTTATCCTCCGACCTTTTCATACCAAGTAACTAGGACTGGATGTGCACGCCACCACGCCTGGCTAATTTTCTTGATTTTTAGTAGAGACAAGGTCTCACTGTGTTGCCAGGCTGGTCTTGAACTCTGAGCTCAAGTGATTTTTCCTACCTCGGCTTTCCAAAGTGTTAAGATTCAGGTGTGAGCCACCACGCCCAGCCAGAACTTACTTCTGAAAATTTTCTTTTAATTGTGCTCCAAACTAAAACAAGTCACCTTATCTAAAATGTATACTAGATTAATTTCTCTTGGTGAAAGGCACATATCATTTATTTCTAGTTGTTTCTGTAAGTACTACTGTCCTCAGTTTCAATGCTTTTTTCTTTTAGAGATAAAAGAGGATTAGAAAGTAAAAGAAAATGCTGGGAACTGACCGTTGTGTGGTGGAAGAATGGTTATCAGAATTCAAGGTAAATTGGATTGGAGATCAGAATGTATTATATTATTCTGTATGTCAGTAATTCAAATAGTGAGTATGTGCTCTATGGAGAAACGTATAAAAATATGGTAGGAAGTGAAAATGGCAAAATACAAAATAACGTGCTTCTGTAATTGTAGTTCTTAAAAATGGTACTAATATGAATAATGACTAGAAGGGGATATGTAAAAATGAAAATAGTTGTTAAGATTGATGAGACGATATTTTAAAATATATTCAGTAAAAGAGAAGATCCACCAAGCTTTAATAAGGCACAAAAATTACGTTTTTCTATCCTGTAATTAAAAGTCAAATAGTCTTGATGGAAAACTATGTAATTTATGAATACTGTGGAATTGTAAATGTTTCGGCAAAACATAAATGCAAGAATTGAAACATCCTACATTTTTTAAAAGGTTAGATTAATTTAAGATGGCCCATTTCAGGAAATCTTGGTATAATGTGTGATTTCTAATCAGTATTTATGGTTGAGTAGTTAGAAGGATTCTATACTATAACATCCTAACTTAATTTGTTTGCACTCTGATGGTTCTTTCTTTCTTTTTTTTTTTGTTGAGTTGGAGTCTCACTCTGTCGCCTAGGCTGGGGTGCAGTGGCGCTATCTCGGCTCACTGCAACCTCCACCTCCCAGGTTCGAGCGATTCTTCTGCCTCAACCTCCTGAGTAGCTGGGATTACAGGAGCCCACCACCATGCCTGGCTAATTTTTGGTATTTTTAGTAGAGACAGGTTTCACCATGTTGGCCAGGCTGGTCTTGAACTCGTGACCACAAGTGATACGCTCACCTTGACTTCCCAAACTGCTGGCTGGGATTCCAGGCATAAGCCACTGTGCCCAGCCTATTTCTTTATATTAATTATTTTTACTTTTCTTACTTGAGTTTGTTATAAATCTGTTCAAGAACTACTTGTGTAAAATAAAGTTCCTCACTTCTCAAATGTTCACTTTTGTTTTCCTTTGGTGGTTTCTTTTAGGCATTACCTGACACTCAGATCACCAGTTATGCAGCAACTTTACACCGGAAAAAAACACTTGTACCAGCCCTCTATAAAGTTATTCAGGATTCGAATAATGAGGTAGGAGAGCTCAAGAAAAATAATTTCTACATAGTGAAATGAAATATGTTTACCAAAACATGTAAATTTAAGTTTTATAGTTTTCTCTTCTTGTGAATCTGGAAAATTTTCTTTCTGCTGTTTTTCATTCTGATAGTTGCTTTGGCTTTCCCTATTCCCTGCCTTTCCATATTTTGAAATGTTTTGATCAAATTTTTTCCTGTTGAGTGTGCAGTATGTTTTGATTGTTGATTTTAGTGACCATCATCTCAGTGGATTATTTATTTGAAACTTTTCTGTTGCCTGTTCTGGAATGTTTCCTGCTCTGGAAGCCATATTTTAACTGTATACTGATCCAACTTTATTTATCTTAAGTATTTTTACAGTTATTTTTCTGAGAATATATAATTAGGTATAATCACTCTAAAATCAAACTGATAACACAAAATGATGCTGCTAGTCAATTTAGCTTGAAAAGGATCAGAGGAAGCACTTTTTAGTCTAAGTAGTCAAGATCGATAAACTTAGAGTAAGAGTTTTGTATTATTTAACCTTGTGATAGAAGGAAAAAGTGCAGTTATTGAATCTGTATGTTAACTTATGCAAAATACACACATTATCTTTCCATTAACACAGTAGTGTGACATACAGTTTTATCACCACTGGATTCATGTATGCTTAAAATGAAAATGAAAGGAACACACAGGAAAGTAGCTTCTTATCTTCCCAGATACAACCTCCAAGAGTGCCTCTGCTGTGTACTGGAGTGAGTTTGAAGAAGTTCAGGTAATCCCCTCCTAACCAGCAGCTTAACTTAAAGTGCATCTTCATTTTTGTCCTATCACTAAAAGCTTGCTTATTGACCTCCTTCTTTCCTGTCTCCTAAATTGTGATTGGCTCTCAGTTAGACTTGCATCTGTTGCTATTTGTAGCAGCAATTGCAGGATTCATTTGCTTTTTCTCTTGCAGTGTATTTCTGAATGTTTTATAACTCTGGGTATGCGTAATGTACGTATATGCATATCCATATGGTCAAGAGTTTTCAGAATTCTTTGAATAATGAATGTGTGTATTCCCTACCCCTTGTTTTGCGCTATCTTAACATTTAAGCTTTGCTTATTAAAATGTATTTGTTTTAATGCTTTCTCTTTAGATTGTAAGCTCTTCATGGGCAGTGGTCAGATATTCTATATTTGTGACTTCTCTAGAATCTAGTATTTTATCATGTACATAACAAACATAGAATAATATTGATTGGAAGAACAGTGAAGTACAAAATGAGATTCTAAAATGACATTTTCATTAGGGCTCAGAAGTGTATAAGAAGTAACCTTTTCCTATTTTTTTGTTTAATACTTTGGAAGCTTTTACATTAAAAAAGCTACTCTCATTACTTTCTGTTGTCATATTTCATAATATTAATGTGTGGAACTTTGGGGGTCTCATGGCTAGAAATGGAAAAATTACAACTCGAGGGATGTGAGCTCAAGATCCAGCATTCATTATAATCAACCAGTTGCTAGAGGAGGTTTGAGTTTCTCTCCTGTCTCCTGTCAGGTTAGAAGGCTTTAACCACGTATTCAGACTTCAGAAAAACAGATTGATAAATTCGATAGAATTTCAAAACAATTATGGACTTTAGTCATAGAAGGAGGTCCCTTTTAATCCTGATTTTGTTATATTCTGAAAGAAACAAATGTACTATTTAGGTTACAAGAAATTATTGTAGAAAATTGTCATGTGCCATATTTAATATGAATTAGAACTTACAATAGTTGTTGGCGCAGTGGCTTACGCCTGTAATCTCAGCACTTTGGGAGGCGGGGCAGGGGTGGATCATGAGGTCAAGAGATCGAGACCATCCTGGCCAACGTGATGAAACCCTGTCTCTACTAAAAATACCAAAAATTAGCTGAGCCTGGTGGTGCAAGCCTGTAGTCCCAGTTACTTGGGAGGCTGAGACCGGAGAATCGCTTGAACTTGGGAGGCGTAGGTCGCAGTGAGCCGAGATTGCACCAATGCACTCCAGCCTGGTGACAAAGCGAGACTCCGTCTCAAAAAAAAGAAAAGAAAATATTTGGAAACTTTCATATTTTCTGATTCAAATCTACCACTCCACAGCACTCTCTTGCCTTTTCTGGTGTTCAGTGGGTGAAGTATCTCAGGTTGTATCAAAAGCCATCTCTTCTGCTTAGGCCTGGATCCTATCTTCTCTAGCTACCTTAAGGACTCGGGTCCTGCAATTATTCCTTCTCTCTTCCATCACTGATCTTTTTTTCTTTCCCTGATGAGTGGAATATGATAAACAACCTTATTCTATTTTTTAAAAACTTTATTTGAGCTTATCTGCTATGATCTACCCCATTTCTCTGTCCCTATTCACAGATGAACTTCATAAAATATTGCTTATTCAAAGACTCTGTCTACTTGTCTCCTTTTCTTCACCTCACATTCTTTAACCCACTCAAGTTAGGCTTCATCTTCATTATTCCATCAAAATACTCAGTGTGTTCATCAAATAGCATGTCTCTTAGTAATTATCATGTCAAAACAGTGTTTGCTAAATTTGGGAAAGGTGTCAGTTATGATTTTTTCTAACCCAAGGATAATGATTTTTAATACTTTTTGATGTGGGTGGTGGTGCCATTTAAGGGAGGTCAGAATCATTTATATTAAGAATTTGAGAACATGGTGCTATGAGACATATGCTTCAAGTTAAAGTTTTTTTGTTGTTTTTTTGTTTTTTTCTGAGCCATGGTCTCACTCTCTCTTCCATGCTGGAGTGCAGTGACACCATTGTAGCTCACTGTAACCGCAAACTCCTGGACTCGTGATCCTCCAAACCCAGCTTCTCAATTAGCTATGGGCACATGCTACCACACCCTGCTAATTTTATTTTTTATTTTCTAAAGACAGAGTCTCACTTGTTACCAAGGCTGGCCTTGAATGCCTGGGCTCAAGCGATCCTCCCACCTTGGCCTCCCAAAATGCTGGGACTACAGGCATGAGCTATTGAGCCTGGCCACAATTAAAGATTTTAACACATAGCATTGGCAATTTTTCTTTTCTTTTCTTTTCTTTTTAAGACAGGGCCTCACTTTGTCACCCAGGCTGGAGTGCAGTGACTTGAACACAGCTTACTATAGCCTGAACCTCCTGGGCTCAAGCAATTCTTCTGCCTCAGCCCCCCAAAATAGCTAGGATTACCCAGGCGTGTGCCACCACACCTGGCTAATTTTTGTATTTTTTGTAGAGGTGAGGTTTTGCCACATTGCACAGGCTGGTCTGAAACTCCTGGGCTCGAGCCATCAGCCTGCCTTGGCCTCCCAAATTGCCGGGATTACAGGCATGAGCTATTGTGCCTGACCAGCAAGTTTTTAACAGTCTTACTTTGTAGTAGTATCTGATTAAAAGTTACTGGAATGCCAACATCTACCCCCCATTTCACTTAAAATAAAACAGCGTAATAATGTTGGTAACCCTGTATTACTTCACTGTGCTTAGTTAAATTATAGTGTCCCACATGCCAGTGTACCTGTTGCTACTGAGAAAGAGGAGTTTAAGGTCTTCACAGAAGAAATTCATCATAATTGTACCATGGCCCTTGAAGTTTAGAGAAGGCAATCTTTGGAGAGTTTTTTTTACTAAAGAGGAGATTGAGTTTGAAACATGAGTATAAATTTTTAGTAAACAAAATTTGTGAGAGCAACAGTTTTTTACTTCTCTCAAAGAACTGAATATTGCTCTCAGTATTTAAGAAAGATGCCAGCAACTGACAGTTTCCAGAAGTTTATTACTTGTTCATTATTGGCACTACATGGAATACACTGTTTGTGATTAAACAATCTATACCTCCATTCTAATACAAGAAATGTGGTAGAGTGGAAACATCAACTTGATGTCAGAAGACCTGAATTTAGTGTCTTATTTCACCATTAACTTCAACGACTTTTGACAAATTATCTGATTGGTTTAGACTTCAATGTAAGGGAAGAGTTGCAATATTTTCCTTTTGTGTCAGTCTTGCTCTGTTACCCAGGCTGGAGTGCAGTAATGCTATCATGGTTCAATGCAGCCTCAAACTCCAGGGCTGAAGCTATCCACCCTCTTCAACCTTGTGAATAGCTGGAGCTACAGATGTGTACCTCCACACCCAGCCTCTGGAAAATTTTTTAAGATTTTAAAAACTGTTCTGATAGTGATTTAACATAAAGGGCTTAGTATTTACTAGACTAGGATGTGTATGTATGTAAATTTTTTAAACTTTAGAATTCTTCCAGAGCTAATCCTAACTCTTCTAAATATATTAACTATATAATTGACATGGATTTGTTAACTTTTTATCATGACAGTGACTTTTTATTGTAGAGTGTTAGATTATTACAGATGTATATAACTATATTCAAGCATATTTCCAAAGTTATATCCATTATTTTAATCATTCAGAATAGAGGAAAGCACATGAAATTACTGAACTATTATTCTTTTTTTTAAAGAGTTAGTGTTAAACTTTAAAATTTATTTTATAGTTTCTTGTCAATATTTTATATGAATTTTAAAGTCATAGCCCAGTTTTGTGCAGCCTACAGTTACTCCAGCAAACCCATTCTAAATTGGCAGTACATATTTAGGGAAAAGTGGGAAAGTTTATTTTAACTGTTCATTTTCTTCAGTTTTCTAGATTGTGAAGTTCCTCATAAGTCATATTGTGTGATATCGTATGAAAAATTAGCCAATCGAACACTGAAAAAGCTATTTCTGTTAAAATCTTTCACATAAATACAATAAGTAAAATTTAAATCAGTTTTAAAATGGTTTGCTTCACTTGTGTGTATTTTAAATATTAGCTAGAATTTTGGATGCACAAATATTTATTGCAAAATCCCTTCTACTGAGTGGTATATAACTGTTTTTTACATGGAATGTGGATGCTTTAATGAATTTCATATTGCAGTGAAGACACTTAGTACTTAGAGACAATGACATCAATACAGTGAAAACTGATTCCACAGAACACTTACAAATGCATACATTTTCCTCCAAAGAAGCATGTTTTTCACAGATTTAAGTAACAAATGATTTACATAGGATTCTTCAGATTCCAAAATATGTACAGAATTTTTGACTGTACAGAAACTGATTAGCAGTGGTTGAAAAAAAGAATTGCTTTACACAACAACATGACTCTTAGAAAATTCTGTATCAATACACATTTTTCAGTAAGAGTGGTATATAATTTGTTTAAATCATAGTCTCAGTTGAGATTTTAAGTTTATTCCCAACAATATTATGCAAAATTATCTTATTTCAGTGGAAAGTTTTTGAAATGGAGGATAGTAAGAGTTGATAAGAATAGAAAGGAAAATTCTTCTTAAATATAAATGTAGTACATTGGCTAAAGGACTAATAATCTAATAAATTTAGTAGTACAGTATACTGAAAGGTACATTGATATATGGGCACAAAATACTTCTTATAGTTAGTGGATTGGTCAGTTTAATATGTGGTCTCTTTACACAAAGGTTTTGGTTAAATTAACTCAAAATATGGAGAAGTTAATATTGACTATTTTAAAAGTTTTATACAGATATAGGTGCCTTTAAAAGAAAAAACAAAAAAGAATTACAACCAAAAGAATTGAAATGACCAGTGCACTTTATTTTCCTTTTAGCTCCTGGAGCCTGTCTGCCATCAGCTGTTTGAGCTCTATCGTAGCTCAGAGGTTCGACTTAAGAGGTTCACACTGCAGTTCTTGCCAGAATTGATGTGGGTTTATTTACGGCTTACAGTTAGCCGAGACAGACAGAGTAATGGTTGCATTGAAGCACTTCTGTTAGGAATATACAATTTGGTAAGTTGAAGGTGACAGAAATTTTAAGTATTTTGTAAGGTCCTCTGAAATACTTAAGGAATGTTTAGAGAAAAATGAATCGGCCAGGCTCATGCCTGTAATCCCAGCATTTTGGGAGGCCGAGGCAGGCATATCACTTGAGGTCAGGAGTTTGAGACCAGCCTGGCCAACATGGTGAGACTTTGTCTCTACTAAAAATACAAAAATTAGACAAACATGGCGGTGTATTCTTGTAATCTCAGCTACTCGGGAGGCTGAGGCAGGAGAATCGCTGGAACTGGGGAGTTGGAGGTTGCAGTGAGCCAAGATTGTACCACTGCACTCCAGCCTGGGTGAAAGGACTGAGACTCTGTCTCAAAAAAAAAAATAAAAATAATAGATAAATAAATTGAGGCCAGATGTAGTGACTCATGCCTATAATTCCAGCACTTTGGGAGGCCAAGGTCTGAGGAGCACTTGAGCCCAGGAGTTTGAGACCAGCCTGGGCAGCTTAACCAAATCTTGTCTCTATAAAAAATTAGCTGGGCATGGTGGCATATACCTGTAGTCCCAGCTACTTAGGAGGCTGAGATGGGAAGATTTCTGGAACCCAGGAAGTCAAGGCTGTAGTGAGCCATGATCATGCCACTGTGCTCAAGCCTGGACAAGAGAGCAGGACCACATCTCAAAAAAACAAAAAACAATTCAAATGTCTATAAATGTAACTTGTTTGAACTAATTAGGTTGAGTACAGGGGTAAATACTGATAATGCATTTTTTGATAATATATTTTACAAAGTATGTAAAACTACTATAATTGATAGCATTATTAATATTTATTTCTTCAAATTATTTTATTTGACCAATATTTATAAATGTTTTTGGATGTATGGCATTGAGTTGGACACTGAAAATGCGGAGAATTACATGTGTGGCACCTACTTTTAGGAAACTCCTGCTGTGTTTGAAAAGACATGTTTACAGATAACTAATAATGCGGTTTGTATAATAAGAGGATTTTAGAGAGAAACTCAGATGTTAGCTGAAGTTATCATGGCAGGCTTTATTGAGGCGATGGCATCTAAGCTGGGCCTTATGAAGAGGTATAGTTTTGGCCCATTGAGATAAGGAGCAGGTGAGGTTTCAGGAAGCAGCTATCAATTGAACATAAGCAGAGAGGCAGGAGAGTCAGGTCACGTCCTGGAAATAGAAAGTAATTCTGTTTGAAGCACAGAGTATATATGCAAGCTGGAAAAGACAATTTTGTGTCAGTTTTGGAGAGTCTTTTTAAAGTGAAGAGTTTAGGTTTAGGTTCTCTTCAAAGCAATTAGAGGGTTTTGAACAGAAGAATTGTATTATATATTAGGAAGATGAATCTTGTGGTGGTATGCAGAGAGACTTTTGAATTATAAATTGAATTTAGTCACCACTTCTTATATATTAAAGGCTATATACATAATTGAGAAGAGTGAGGCAAATGGACATGAGATTTCTGTTTCTCTGAGGGGAGGACATCAGTTTCAGGAAAAAAGTTCATGTAGTATTATAGCATGGTAGGATTTTTAAAATCTTAGTAAGAACACAGTGGAAACTAGGGGGAGGAAAGAAACCATAAACACTTCTGAGATACTAGGGGCTTTACATAGAACTCGAAGATTGAGAGTTGATCACTTCTGCAAGATGGGGAGGGTATGCTAGAAAGGTTACAAAGACTGTAGGAAGCAAGGTGAAAAGGTGAGGGAGAGTTTAGGAACATGGGATCATCTGCGTAGCACTTTTCTGAAGATTTGGGCAGCACAAGGCACCTTTTCTTGTGCAATTCAGGGAAACAAAATAGCACAGCATCATATTTCCATTCCCATGTGCCTCTACAAAATTGGGCAGTTACCTGAACTCATCAATAAAGAATCGTGAATTTTATGAATGTATCTTGGAGTCATTGAGTGGGGTAGCAATTGAGAAACCAAAGTGTTATTTGTCATAAAAGTTGTAAATTTGTTAATAGTTATTTGATAATATATCATGTATTTGATAGTACATTGTTTATAAAACTCTTTTCTTCTAAGGAATTAAGTACCATAAACATTATTATTCTATTTTTTTCTCATGATGTCCAGTTAAGGACCATTGGTATTGAAATTTCTGCGCCTTGAAGTCTTAATATTTTGTGTATTTAGTATACATTGTAAACAAACACTCCACATAATAAAAGTTTAGTTTTATAACTGAAAGGTAGTAAAGTACAAGAAAATTGAATCTCATGGTAAATATTCTTCTGTACCAGTGCTCACTCCTCTAAGTATTAGTTACTTTAAAAAATCATTAGCAAACATTTCCATTGCTAGAAGTCTGAAGGAAGGAGCAAGGGCTTTAGCATGACTTGTATTCAGTTCAGAACCATGCCCTGCCACTTATTGGCTATTTTAAATTGGGACAAGTTACTTAATATCTTGACTTCAGTTGCCTCATCTGTAAAAAAGAAAACATTGTTAGTAGGATTAAAAACAACTTGAAGAATTCATTATGTTGCCTAAGGTGTTTATAAATGTTCATCAAAATTACCATCAAAATTAAAATTTAAAAACAATGAAAATTGATCTAGGAATAAAATTCTCTACTTTCCTAACTTGCCTGATTGTTTTTTCTTTTCAAGTAGGAAGTCTGTTTTATTTACCACTGTGTTTCCTATAGTGCTTACCAGCAGATACTTAGTAAATGTTTGTTGATTTAATGATGGAACTTGGTGTTTTAGACTACGCTTAGCATTAAGCTATCATTTTCATTAATGTGTTTAGTGTAATAAAATTCAATAATGAGACACATGAAACATTTTGCAAAGTGTCATGTTGGACAAATTGTTGACATAACTTGTTGGTGCTGTTTGACAATGCAAAATTAGTATACTATAGAAAAATTTTTTGCTCAGTTATATGTCAGAAGTGTAACCCTAGGCTTTGGACTCCTTTTAATTCCCTTGATATCTGTATTCTTCCTTTTCTGTGGTTCTCAGTTTTTCTTAATCACACTGGGAGTCGTCCATATATTCTTTTCTGTTTTTCCTTCTTTCCCTCCCCAGCACTTCTTTGTTTCAAATAGCCCCAGGGGAAGTTTTATATTTCCCTTAAACAAAATTTAGCATATCCTTTTCACAAATACCTGCAAAGATAAATCAAAAGTATTAGGCTTAATTTGAAATTTAACAATAAAATTAAAACATTTTTGTCTAACTTAAATCAGGCCCATTCATCTTAGCATAGACTTTCTCTGAAGCACAGTGGCCCAAATGTGGTGGGACCTGGTTTGACTACAAAGAAGTTATATCCTCAAGGAACTTTTCAGACCTATTTTCCTACCGTAATTAGAGGTATGGTCATTATTCACATGTAATTGGTACTCTTATGTGACATCATAAACTCAGAAACGAGTCCTGTACAGAAGTTCTTTGGGGTTTGTGTTTGGTGATGAGGATTATTGCTGCTGTTATTGTTTCTTCTTTTTTTTTTTGAAATGGAGTGCAGTGGCACAGTCTCAGCTGTCGCCTAGGCTGAAGTGCACTGGCAGTCTCAGCTCTCTGCAACGTTTGCCTCTGGGGTTCAAGTGATTCTCCTGCCTCAGCCTCCCAGGTAGCTGGGATTATAGGCATGTGCCACCATGCCCAGCTAATTTTTGTATTTTTAGTAGAGATTGGGTTTTGCTTTGTTGGCCAGGCTAGTCTCGAACTCCTGACCTCAAGTGATACCCACCTCGGCCTCCCAAAGTGCTGGGATTACAGGCGTGAGCCACTGTGCCCAGCCTGATGTATCTTCTTTTTAGGCCATGCAACTACTCAGTTTCTGACTACTGCCATGTAGGTCTAGTAAGGGCAGTCTTCTCTCTATGGATTTTATGCCAGTGATGTATGCTAATATGAGTTGTAAGGGAAATAGACAAAAATAAGACAGTGGGGAAAAGGATTGCTGCAGTTTTCACTCCTCTGATTGTCGTCATCTGTAGGCATATGTGTGTGTGTGTGTGTGTGTGTGTATGTGTGTGTGTGTGTGTGTGTGTGTATATATATATATATTGTTTTTTTTGAAACGACATCTCACTCTTGTCCCCCAGGCTAGAGTGCAATGGCGTGATCTTGGCTCACTGCAACCTCTGCCTCCTGGGTTCTCCTGCCTCAGCCTCCTGAGTAACTGGGATTACAGGTGCCTGCCACCGTGCCTGGCTAATTTTTGTATTTTTAGTAGAGACGGGGTTTCACCATGTTGGCCAGGCTGGTCTCGAACTCCTGACCTTAGGTGATCCGCCCGCCTCTGCCTCCCAAAGTGCTGGGATTACAGGCGTGAGCCACCGTGCCTGGCCACACATATTTATTTATAACAGGAATATTGGAGGTGCCGGAGATGGAGAAATGAAGGATACCGTTGTCCATTGTCTTTTTTATGAAAAGAAAGTGTTTTTAATAAAATCACAAGAACTTTCTTGTAGCTTAGTAAAAATTACCTAAATATGAATTTATTTTTAATGACTTAGACTAATAATCATTTTGTTTGTTTGTTTTTGAGACAGGGTGTCATGCTGTCACTCATGCTGGAGTGCATTGGGTGATCTCAGCTCACTGCAACCTCCACCTCCCAGGCTCAAGGGATCCTCCCACCTCAGCCTCCTGAGTAGCTGGGACTACAGGCCTGCAATACCATGCCCAGCTAATTTTTGTATTTTTTTGTAGAAAAAATATTTTTTTTGTATTTTTTTGTAGAAAAAATATTTTTTTGTATTTTTTTGTATTTTTTTTGGTCTTGAACTCCTGACCTCAAGCAATCTGACTGCCTTGGCCTCCCAAAGTGATGGGATTGCAGGCCTGAGCCACCACACCTGGCCCAATATAATTACTAATTGTGGCTTATTTCAGGTCATTCGTTTATTGCTAAATGATTGTAAGAATCTTTTATTCAAGATTCATTGATAAATGTTCTCACCATTTTTAAAAAAAGGATAACTGAGGTGTTGTGTTTGTTAATTAGCTTGATTATTTTAATCATTTCACAGTGTATACATATATCAAAACATCATGTTTTATGCCACAAATATATAATGTTCATTTGTCAATTATACCTCAGTAAAGCTGGAAAAAATTCATTCTGTATTAAATTAATGTGTTTTTCTTGTTTTCATAAGTGTGGATCTCTTGGTTTTTTCATTTTAATCTGTTTAGCATAGCCGTGTTTTTACTAAAAGATCTAATCACTTGTAATCTTCCCATCCTGTATGTAAATTTAACATCAAATTCATTTGTTTGCCTGCCTCATGTCTTTGCTGTCATATTGTATTTGATTTTGTATAGAATTGTACTCAATATCTATCTCTCTGTGGATTCTGTGGATTATAACTCTACTACCAAAGTGTACAAATTTGCTAATAAGTTAGAAAATATAAACTAGGGTGGTAATATTTTTATCCATTACTATTTCTGAAAAATCTTCCTACTGCCAGTCATATAGTCTGTAAATTAAGAAAGTAATTATTATTTCTTGTAGATCTGTGATTATTTCATTATCTTTGTATATTTTTTGGCTATAGGAAATTGCTGATAAAGATGGGAACAATAAAGTTCTGTCTTTCACTATCCCCTCCTTATCCAAGCCTTCAATATACCATGAAGTAAGTAACATTGGAAAGGTGGAATTATTTTAAATTATATTGAGTAACAAATCAAAAAGTCAGTTTCTTATCAGAGATAAATATTCCTAAAATATCTTTACTGATTTACTTCTTAAAAGTGGATGTGCTGGGTGCAGTGGCTCACACCTGTAATCCCAGCACTTTGGGAGGCCGGGGCGGGAGGATCACGAGGTCAGGAGATCGAGACCATCCTGGCTAACCCGGTGAAACCCCGTCTCTACTAAAAACACAAAAAATTAGCCGGGCGTGGTGGCGGGGGCCTGTAGTCCCAGCTACTCGTGAGGCTAAGGCGGGAGAATGGCGTGAACCCAGGAGACAGAGCTTGCAGTGAGCCAAGATTGCGCCACTGCACTCCAGTCTGGGTTACAGAGCGAGACTCTTCCTCAAAAAACAAAAAAGTGGATGTTTGTTATTACAAGACTGAGCTGTGACAAGAGAGGCAGAAAATAATGAAACATTTTCTCTAGTTATTTTTGTTTTTTTATTCTTCTGTATCTTTTTGAAGACAAACTCTTGCACTGTCCCTCAGGCTGGAGTGCAGTGGTGCAGTCTTGGCTCACTGCAACCTCTGCCTCCTGGGTTCAAGCAATTCTCCTGCCTTGGCCTCCCCAGTAGCAGGGACTGCAGACGCGCACCACCATGCCCGTTAATTTTTTTATTTTTAGTAGAGATGGGATTTCACCGTGTTGGCCAGGCTTATCTCGAACACCTGACCTTGTGATCCGCCCACCTTGGCCTCCCAAAGTGTTGGGATTATAGGCGTGAGCCACTGCATCCGGCTCTACCAGTATCATTTTTTACTTTCATTAATCTTTTATGAATTTTTTAAAAATTCATTAATTTTTTATATTTGTATTTTTAATTTTTAAAATCGTAAGCCTTAAAAATATTCTTTAATTTTTAAAGTCTTCTATACTACTTAGAAATCACCTTAGATTGATTTGTTTTTGTTATTCTTTATTATTCTAGGAAAATAACTACTTAAAAGAATGTTGACACTCTGTTATATTTCAGTTTAAAGGAATTTAATTGTTGCATTCTAGGTGTTCAGTACATTATACTTTTTAGCTTATATTTATTTGGTTGAAGAATTCGAGAACACTGATAATCATGTAGGTAAATGATGCCTGTTGAGCTGAACTTTTTCTGCTTTCTGTCTTTAAGTAAAATCCAATAAGAAACTGTTATGAATCAAACTTCTGATCTGCAGTGGCCTTTATTGTTGCTACACTAAGTTGTGAGGATAACATTTAGAGAAACTTTACTAGTAGTCTAAAAATTATATTCTATTTTCCTATCAACACACAGTATCCTGACCATCTCATAGCTCTTTGCACTATTAATTTGCTTAATTAATTCCCTGGGACTTTGTTTTGTGTTTAAAATAGAATGTCTCCCATTTAGCGAGGAATCATTTTAGCACAATGTATTTCTGAGTAATAGATTTTAATTAAGTTCTGTGTATCATGTTATAAAGTAAAATGGAGAGTAGTAAAGTATTAATGAATGGATGGTTCTTCTATTTTTTTTTTTTTTTTTTTGAGACAGAGTCTCGCTCTGTCACCCAGGATGGAGTGCAGTGGCGCGATCTCAGCTCACTGCCACCTCTGCCTCCTGGGTTCAAGCGATTCTCCTGCCTCAGCCTCCCAAGTAGCTGGGACTATAGGTGCGTGCCACAAGCCCGGCTAATTTTTTTGTATTTTTAGTAGAGATTGGGTTTCACCATGTTAGCCTTGATGGTCTCGATCTCCTGACCTCTTGATCTGCCCGCCTCGGCCTCCCAGAGTGCTGGGATTACAGGCGTGAGCCACCACGCCCAGCCTGGATCGTTCTTCTAACTTTAGAAACACTAACTCAATGATGTTAGTATTAAAGAGACATCTGGGCTGGGTATGGTGGCTCATGCTTGTAATTCCAGCACTTTGGGAGGCTGAGGTGGGTGGATCACTTGAGGTCAGAAGTTTGAGACCAGCCTGACCAACAACATGGCGAAACCCTGTCTCTACTGAAAGTACAAAAATTAGCTGGACATGGTAGAGGGTACCTGTAATCCCAGCTACTTGGGTGTCTAAGGCACAGGAATCGCTGGAACCCAAAAGGCGGAGGTTTCAGTGAGCCAAGATCGTGTTACTGCAGTCCATCCTGGGCGACAGAGCGAGACTGTGTTTCAAAAGAAAAGATAGATATTTGATTATAGTATTTAATATTGTTTGTATAATTATAAGCAGTTGTACTCTGTTCTGAAATATAGACATCAAAATGGATGTATTTTTAACCTTTAGTTTTTTCAGCAACTTTTCTTACTCCTTTAAATATAGATTTATTACATAACCTTTTAAAAATATTTTTAGTTTTATATCTTACAGACAATTTCCAAAAGAAGCTATATAATTTATGTAATTGAGAATTGAAAGATTCTGAATGTTTTCTGTGAAGAATGAGAATAATAAATGATCTAAAACTGCCTTTTGTGGAAAAGAAAATTAAATATTATTACATGATACAGATTTTTACTTCATGGTAGAGACACTGTCTCATACTGTACCTTATTTTTGTAGCCTTCAACAATTGGATCCATGGCTTTGACAGAAGGGGCATTGTGTCAGCATGATCTCATCAGAGTTGTTTATAGTGATCTTCATCCTCAGAGGGAAACATTCACGGCACAGAACCGGTAATGGTCAAAACTGTATATAGTACCAACTTGTATGTATGTATGCATGAATATATGAATGAATGAATGAATGAATGAATGAATGAATGACAGAGTCTCACTCTGTCACCCAGGCTGGAGTGTAGTGGCACAAACATGGCTTACTGCAGCCTGGACCTCCCAGGCTTAAGTGATCTTCCCACCTCAGCTTTCCAAGTAGCTAGGACTACGGGTATGCACCACCATGCCTGGCCAATTTTTTTTTTTTTTTTAATTTTTTGTAGAGAAAGGTCTTGCTATGTTGCCCAGGCTGGTCTCGAACTCCTAGCCTCAAGCACTTCTCCTGCCTCAGCCTCACAAAGTGCTGAGATTATAGGCATGAGCCACTGCACCTGGCCCATTTATTTATATATTTAGAGACAGAGTCTAGTTATGTTGCCCAGGCTGGTCTTGATCTCCTGGCCTCAACATGATCCTCCCACCTTAGATTCGTGAGTAGCTGGGATTACAGGCATGCACCACTGCACTCAGCTAACAATTGTTAACTTATGCTTAGTAGTTAACTGTAATTACTTCAATTCAAGTTTGGTATGAGAAGAGTCCAAAAGGTAAATACATCATAGTCATGAAATACTCATTTTCTAACGTTTGGTATTATGTTATGGTCATCTTGTATAAAGCAGTTTAAAAAGTGAACGTGCAGTCAGTCAAATCAGGATTCATATTCTAGTACTGCAATTTAGAAATTTTTCCCTCAGGCAGTTTATCTACTCTGTATACCTTGCTTTCTTGGTTGTAGAATGGGATTCGTTCCTGAAGTTAGACAGAGTTTCAGGGACAGGTTCCAAAATTGCCCTCACTTCTGACTAAATTGAAAGTTTTGGGAGTTCCCAAAACTAAACTCTTGTTTGATAATTTGCTAGACAGACTCACAGAATTCACTGAAAGCCATTATACTCACAGTTATGGTTTATTACAAGGAAAGAATACAGATTAAAATCAGCCAAAAGAGACACATGTAGTAGAATATGAAGTGTTTAAAACACAAAGCATCTATTGTCCTTTCCCCTGAAGTCAGGATACATTACAACCTCCTGGCATCAGTGTATGACAGTAAACACAAAGTACTGGTAATGGGGGAGGCTCATTTAAGCTCTGGTTTCCAGAGTTTTTTTATTGAGGCATCATTATGTAGGCATGATTGATTAGGTTGATTGCCCACTGTTGATCTCAGCCTCCATGTCGACTGATGCAGTGTGACCCAGAGCTACCACCTTAAATCGACATGGTAGTTCTTTCTGTCATGGCCAACTCCTACCTAAGAAAGTCAGATGTGGTCAGTCCAGCCCTAAGTTCTAGTGTTACCAGTCCCTGCCCTAAACAAAGACTCTTTATCAGATATGACACAGATTAACTTCTTAGGAGCAAATGCCAGACCTCTCTTTGGGGAAGGCCAGTTTATAGATGGCCCATGAATTATTATGGTTCAACTTAAGGTTTTCCAACTTTACAATGGTATGAAAGCAATATGCATTCAGTAGAAACTGTACTTCAAGTAGCTATGCAACCCTTCTCATTTTTACTTTCAGTACAGTGGTCAGTAAATTACATGAGATACTCAATTTTATGATAAATATAAAATAGGCTTTGTGTTAGATGATTTTTGCCCAACTGTAGGGCTAATGTAAGTGTTCTGAGCACATTTAAGGTAGGCTGGACTATGCTATGATGTTCAGTAGAGTAGATGTATTAAATGCATTTTTTACTTATGATATTCTCGATTTACAATGGGTTTATTGGTATGGAATTCCATCATAGGTCGAGAAACACCTATATTTATTATATAGGCTGTCTCCTGGTCTTTGGCCAAGGCTCAAAAATGATCTTGTTTATCTGGGCATTTACATTTAGTATAGCATTTATATGACAGATACTATCATTATGAATATGCCTAACATTTGGAGGAACCAGTGTAGGTTACAGATAGATTTAAATAAATAATTCGTCCTTTAATGTTTGCATATATTTTCATATTTTTGCACAAATATGATTACCTCACCTCTCTTCTTGACCTACCTCATGGTAAACTTGTGCAGAACTATTTGTCATAGAAATTAGCTATTGATTAGCTAAATCTACTTCCTCCTCAGGCAAGTCATGTTCTATTAGTATTCATTCGAAGGAGGCTTCAATTCAATTTCCAATACATATGACCAATATTATAACCTTACCAACAATGCCAATATTATACCATGTCACAGGATGGCAGTAAATGAAACCTGAAAAATAAGAGCCAAAGATACTGGCACATTCATAGAGTACCAGTCAGTCATTAACAGTTACCCCAGTTCATCATCATATATGACCAAAATATCTCCCAGAGAGAAGTCACTCAAGTTTACAGACTTCTGTTCAACCTTATTAAGTTCTAAAAGCAGGAGTGGTCTCACAAACTTATGACTTTTACTCTTACAGGCAGCTAGTATAATTGAGCTAATAGTATCATCTCTTGCTCTGAGCCTCTTCCAGGGTGTTGATGTATTTCCCACATTGCACAACTCATTTATTCATTTTAAAAAATCTCAGCCGGGCACAGTGGCTCATGCCTGTAATCCCAGCACTTTGGGAGGCCGAGGTGGGTGGATCACCTGAGGTCAGGAGTTCAAAACCAGCCTGGCCAACATGGCGAAACCTCATCTCTACTAAAAATACAAAAAAAAAAAAAAAAAATTAACCAGGTGCGGTGGTGGGCGCCTGTAATCCCAGCTACTCAAGAGGCTGAGGCAGGGAGAATAGCCTGAACCCAGGAGGCAGAGGTTGCAGTGAGCTGAGATCACGCCATTGCACTCCAGCCTTGGCGACAGAGTGAAACTCCATCTCAGAAAAAAAAAAGAAAAATAAATATATATATAATCGGCTGGGCACAGTGGCTCATGCCTGTAATCCCAGCACTTTGGGAGGCTGAGGCAGGTGGATCACAAGGTCAGGAGTTTGAGACCAGATGGTGAAACCCTGTCTCTACTGAAAATACAAAAGTTAGCCGGGCATGGTGGCGCATGCCTGTAATCCCAGCTACTCAGGAGGCTGAGGCAGGAGAATCGCTTGAACCTGGGAGGCAGAGGTTGCAGTGAGCCGAGATCACGCCATTGCACTCCAGCCTTGGCGACAGAGTGAAACTCCATCTCAGAAAAAAAAAAGAAAAATAAATAAATAAATAAATAAATAAATAAATAAAAAGTAAAAAATCTCAGCTACTATTTCTTTCTCTCTTCATTTATACTCAAACTCTCCTCCCTTGGAGAGAGGTTAGGTTTGGCCATCGTGTTGGTCTCTATTTCTGGCAGCAAAACTGACTAGCAAGTGCCTCCCCATCAATTCACTCCCAAGGATGTAGGGTAGATTTATATAAAGAATTAATATGCTATCACAACTAGGCGATAAATATACATTCTCTGTCAATCCTAATTTTGCCAGATGGAATGAAGGTACAGCCTAGCCCATCAGGCCTTTAGGAATTCTGACATAAAGATCTGAAGGTGTAGTTCCAGTTTTTTTGCTTAGGAATCATCTCTGCTCCTTGCACCCACAGTTGCAGCACTGGTACTGCAACCACTGCTTTAGGTGGGGGAAAAAAAAATGTTGAGGTGATGTGGAAAAGAAGGGAAAAAAGTATAGTAATACCACCACCTTCTGTCACTATGAGAAGAACAGAATAGTGATGATGACTATCCCAGCATCATCTCTCCACTGCCTCCTCCCACATCCCCCAGAAAAACAGAGGAATCTCTCCAGTGATAATTGGCCCTCCCTTGGCCCCGCTCAGGTTAAGTACACAGTCATGAAGGCCCATAAGCCAGCCCTTCATGCCTGTATCTCACCCCTGCCTTTTAGACCAAAAATATCTCATTTGATTGTTCCAATTATTTTCTTTTTCAATTGCTTTCATTCCATGCAATTGCTTGTTCCATTACCCTGAGGATGTCTCTTTGCCCATTGTTGGACTTTTGGTCTTTAAAGTGTGTTTCTTGCTCCAGAAATGTAACTAAGCAGTCCATATGGGTACAGTATCTTCTGGTCCTCTTACAGTACTCTGAGCATTTGATCCACAGTCTGATAAGCAAAACCTAATGCAGAGTGTCTGTTCCTGTCAGGACCCATTTGTGGCCTCCAGAGACTGCTGGCATCTGTTCAGCTTGCCAGCTATGTGCAGGGCCTTCCCCTAGAGGAATGTGCCCCATAGCCATCTGCAGTCTTTGTCTGTGTTATTGGCATTTTATGCCTCAGAAGGTACAAAAAGAATATGTCTAAATTCAACCCATCTCTGCTTTGCTGCAGTACCACCATGTCCACTCATTTCATGGACCCAAGTGATCACACCAGGTGACGACACAGGGATATTTGCCCATAAGTGCCAGTCACCTGATTCTAGAAGGAGGTTCTCCTGATGTGCATTGACATATCCTACTTATGCAGTCTTCAGATTCCCATAGTGGTTTCCATATGTCTGTTTTTTTCCATACAGACACCCCTTTAATAGGCCAGTTTTATATTACGTTTCTGCCTGATCACATGGCCAGGCTACTGGCCACCACTCATGAGCTGATAAAAACCCAAACAGGTCAGGCATGGTGGCTCATGCCTATAATCCCAGCACTTTGGGAGGCTGAGGTGGGTGGATCACCTGAGGTGAGGAGTTTGAGTCCAGCCTGACCAACATGGTGAAACCCTGTCTCACTAAAAATACAAAAAATTAGCCGGGCATGATGGTGGGCACCTGTAATCCTAGCTACTCGGGAGGCTGAGGCAGGAGAATCACTTGAACCCAGGAGGCAGAGGTTGTAGTGAACTGAGATCGCACCACTGTACTGCAGCCTGGGCAACAAGAGCGAAACTCCATCTCAAAAACAACAACAACAACAACAACAAAACAAACATAGCAGCAAACTGCATGCAATTCAGCCAACCTGCCAAGCTGGTAAGTTTTCACTTTTTTTTTTTGAGACGGAGTCTTGCTCTGTCAC